CTGTTCAGCGCCGCTTCATCAATGAATTTGTGCGTCGGCTTCTCGAGAGCGATGCCGACCACACGCGTGTTTACACCGTACACAGAGGTGTATTCTGTGGACAGAGGCGTGTCGCAATGGCGCGATTGTGCAGTGGTGTAAAGCCTGTGTCTCCGCAGCTCCTTGACTGCACGCAGCTGCTCAAGCAGAAGCTGAAAGTAAGTGCATAGTTCGGTCGACACCCAAGCGGCCTCATCGTCATCGGATGTCAGTACCCAGATGTTCCAGTCAATTGGGGCAAAAGCATTTTTCTCTGTCTCATCTTCCAATTGAATCGATGCAGGTGGCGCCACCTGCACTTGCCAGTGTCTCAGCGCCTGGCTTCCTATGATGACACAGAACATCCCTTTATCCTGCATCCAATTCATGAGAGGGGGGATTGCAAACCCCAATGCACTTGCAATGGACGCACGTCTTTGCCGCTTGGCAAAACACTTGGCATACATGGCTGAATTGGGGGGGTTTATAAGGCGTGGTTGAGACATATCCGACTGTGATCTCTGCACATAATTGTAATGACCACGCTCCTCTGCTTGCTGATCACCCTCCTAAGAGCAAAGGCTGAATCCGTGCGTGCGCAACTAGCGGGCCACTGTACATGGCCCTAAGGCCCCTCTCACTATCTATGATCTTAACACACCTCCTATACAGCCAACCTCTATTCCCTAGCTAGACAGTATGTATAATCTCCTTAACCCACCACGTTTACATTCAACCTCTATGTTACAAATCTATAAGGAACGTGTGAGTATCTCCGGTCAAAAACAGCCAACCTCTATTCCGTAGCTAGACAGGGTATAAGTTCCTTAACCCACCACGGTGACATCCAAAATCTATGTTACAATTCTATACAGACACAGACCGATGTCGTGAGTGGAATGTGTGAATACCTCCGGTCAAAATCGAAGTACCCCATTTAACTCAAATAACTCAAATAACTCAAATAACTCAGCACAAGTACCCCCTATGCCCGCTGGCTGTAATCCTGGCGCACTACAACTCAACCTCGCCTACAACTGCTCCAAGAATTGGACTAGGTTGACCAACCTTTCCTGCCTGTCTGGCGCGAAGGGCGACAACTGCTTCAAGACTGAAACCATCACTCTCTCTTCATTGTAGTCCTGGCGTGCGCGTTTTCTTGAGGCAAAGGCGCTGGCGCTGGCTGCGGGCCGGTGTGATGGCAGACCT